CCTATCCCCCTGTGTGCCTTGCCTCCCACGACTACCTTGAGCCAGTCACTTTCTCTGAGACCTAGGAAGGAGGCAACGGCAAGCCACTTCTGAAAACCTTGTCAAGAAAATTATAGGGACTTGTCCAGGCAGTCTCTGAGAATCAGACATGATTGAATTATAATAAATAAATAAATAAATAAATAAATAAGATTGAAAAGGAAATTCAACTTTTAGAATTTGATTCATGCTATCAGACATGATTGAATTATAATAAATAAATAAATAAACAAACAAATAAATAAATAAATAAATAAATACATTGTGGTGGTGTATACAACTTTTAGAATTTGATTCATGCTATCAGACATGATTGAATTATAATAAATAAATAAATAAACAAACAAATAAATAAATAAATAAATAAATAAGATTGAAAAGGAAATTCAACTTTTAGAATTTGATTCATGCTATTATAAATCATTTTCCAAAATTGTTGAGCTTTGCCACATTGCCACCAAATATGGAAAAATTATCCAACATTTCTAACTATTTTTAGAAAACAAATATTCTTTCTAACAATCAGTACTAGAGTAACATACTGATTATTTTCCTGTGCTTATCCCAAAGTTTTAATACTCTGCTTACTATTGCATAATTTCTTATAAGCTGCCTATACTACTTCTACTACTACTACTACTATTGATCATAGCTACAGTGTTCAATCTACAATCTCCTTCTTCAAACTGCAGATCTCATGGCTGAAACACATGGCTTAAGTTGTGTATCTGTTCATTCCTTTTACACCCTCTTTTTTGTACAGAACACTGATGGGTGTTCTGGAAGCCTCAAAAACTATCAGATGTTTTTCTACTATTTTAATTGTTCCTACTAAAAGTATTGTCCCACTATGGAATTTGAACTTCTAAAGAGCCTGTTTCTTACCTTCTCTTGCAAGCTGAAGCAAATAGTTTGCCAGATCACTAACATTTTTGTTAGCGAAATAGTTGTAATATTGAAAAACTGTTATGATTTCCAAGGACAGGCTCGAGGAGAGGATAGGTTCTGCACGGTCCGAGATATGAGAAATCAAGGTTTTGAATACTGCATATAACCAGATAAAAGGATTAGTTACCAAATGAGTCCTCATTAATAAGAGCAACAAAAATGACTGGAAGTAAGTCTTTTTTTAGAAAGGATAATGTGCTTTAGAACAAATAGACAACTTCATACTTTCTAGAAGTTTAGAATTATAGTTTCTGGAAGGAGCCAGTATGGCAATGAACAAAGATTATGAAAACTGTATAATACGGGTAACCTGAGGGCACCTAGCTGGTACCTCTGCTCTATAGTGTCATTCACTTATATCTCTGTCATACCCAAATAGAACAAATGAAAAAATAATAGGCTACTGGTACGATATGAAGTGAATTACCAATCACTGAATAAGTGACTGATGTTGGTTGAATATAACCATTGTTTATTATAGGCATGGGCTAAAGAAATATGGCACTGCAAGCAGAAATTTTATTGCTTAAAAAAAAACCATCCCAAAGTAATTTATTTAAATAGCAACTTTTAAAAATAGGTTTTTGGGTACGTTTTGGGATAAAGGTTATAAGAGTGTTCAAAGCCCATGTATATACACACCTGTGTAATTATTTTAATATTAGGAAGGGGAACCAATGTTTAGTCAATGAACTAGTAAAACTAGTTAACATATTTTATTTGACAAAAGGCTTTCAGTAGCATTAAAAATATTGCCATTATAACTATTCTCATTGTGCCTTGTATAATGGTCTTGTCTGCAATATATACATTTCTTATATATACAGTTTTTATTCAAAACTAATTTTATACCTCTGGAAATCTATTTATTCATTTATTTGCTTACACTAATATTGTATAATAATAGTGCAATCCCATACATAGCATTACAGAATTTAAGGCCCACTAAATTCTATATGACTTACTTCGAGATTAAATGTGTATATAGGACTTCAAACTCAAGTTATGTGACAGCCCTAATATTTGATTCTTGAAAGACCAAATATTCAGCAGAGAATATCAACTACTATGTTTTTAAATATCTGATGTAATTGTTGGATGAATTGTTGTAATTTTCACAACCATTTTTTACCACCGTTCATCCACTCAACTGCTATGAAATCACAAAATATGCTACTTTTCTGGAAGCATATTAGGTAACTGTACCTGTTTCTGAAAGTCCTGGACATTCATCATTCACCACTGTAGCAAAAGTGATATCCAGTTGTTTAATCATTTTGTCTGCAGAGGTGTGATACAACCCAGAAGAATTGGTACACTTATTCCAGAAAGAAAGAAGGGATATCTTTTTCTGAAGTTCTGGAATTGCTAATGGGAAAGAAAACCATAAAGCAAATGATTACTACAAATTAAAATTGAACAATAATCAGCTCTGTATTGAAGGGAAATGGGTAGAAATTTGTAAAAGGTTACATGTGCTTGGAAAAAGAAACAAAACAGATCTGCTTTGACTGGAAAGATAACAATAATTATCTGGTTATGTCTATAGCTTCCATGATCTAGATCAGTATTTCTCAGCCTCAGTAACTTTAAGATGTATGGACTTCAACTCCCAGAACTCTCTAGCTTGGCTGGGGAATTCTGGCGAGGAATTCTTGGTATTAAACTCCAAATATCCTAAAGTTGCTGAGGTAGAGAAATACTGATCTAGATAAATATAAGCTAAGAAGGCTTTAGATATTAAGGCTGAGATTTTATGCCAGAAGAATGTTCACTAGGAGAGGGGTCACATGTTGCCCACAACTGCTCCTCTTCAAGCAACAACGCCCCATGGCCTTAGACTGTTTTTTCCCATGTCACTCCCTGTAATGACTTAGAACTCCTGTGCCCAGGATTGTTGGCATGCAAAGCACTGTTCTGTGCCTGAGCTACTAACCTTCTTCATCCAACCTGATCCTATAACAAATTCCCCTGAATTCATTAATACTTTTCACCAAAGGAGTCTGCACAGGACTGAAACTTTACAGCCTGTTTCCACATAAGTTTACCTAGAAGTTCATGGTATTTAATCAGGCCTACACTGGAGTCAATAATTGTATAACAGCCTTAGAGAGTAGGTCTGAGTAAACATGCATAGAAAAGCACCGCATACCATACGGTAAGAAAATAAAAATATGTAATATTTTCATATGAACGTTGTCTATGCTATTTCTCACCTTCACTTATAGGTCTGAAGTTCCCCAGAGTCTCGCTGCTGATCTCTGCAAGACTCTGAATCACTAAATTTTGTTGAGATAGCTTATCCAGAAGATACCTTGTGACAAATGGAGTTCTGCTAGAGAATACAATTTGCTGGTAAAATAGGGAAGAACAACAGTGTAAATAGTCCTCATACAGAACAAACATTAATTAGGTCAAAATTCCAAATGTGGAAGAATGCAAATTTATCAAATAAGAATGATTCTATGGTTTTTACAAACATGATTTTTATCATATACTTTAAAAGTGGGATTCACAACAAACCAACCACTGTAATATGTGTTCCTGTCAATTTCTAGCCAGCTACATTGGATTGTATATTGGATTATGTTATTTTGGCTTCATAAAAATTAACAGAAAACATGTCTTCTATTTATATTGAGGACTGAGTATGTGTCCCTAGTGGTGACTTTTTGCAGAGACTCTTTTCTCAGCAAAGTAGATAAAAGCACAGCACAATACACAGATTTACTACACTACGATTACTCTGAATATGCCATATTTACCTCAGAGGGGAAAAACCCTAAGTTTAAGATTACTCCCAACAAAGAAGATTAGATGGGAAAAATACTTCCATTATTGTATTCTCAGGGAATCAAAATAATCCACTTGAACAATTACTTTTTGGGGAGAGAGAGGAAATTACTCTTTACATGTTATCTTAGGCTGGTCAATAACCAAAATAAATATATTTAGTTTGACTTATTTGGAAATATGTCTCACTAACGTCAGTAGTGCTTCAACCCTAGGAAGTATGTAAAATTACAACTTTAATCAATTTAAGTCTGCCTTAAAAGCTATTAATTTAATTGGGATTTCTGTGTGGCTAAAATCCTACTTTTGTATTTCAAAGAACTTGTGAAAGTTCAAACTGTGTCAAGAAATTTGGGTCAGAGGGGTATACATAGCCTCTGCCTCCTATAGAGTCTATGTGTTGTTACCAATTTGGTACCAGACCATGTCACACTGAACAGCAAAGAGTGAACTGGAGTTCTGTTCTGGTTCACATGGACCATGATGAAATAAGATCATACATGGAGAAAAGGGGATAAGAGTTAGGGTGCAGATTGGCATGGACAGCCCCAGTCTCCTATAGAGTTTGGGCCCTTGTGTCTTGTTTGGAATATCTGGAGAGAAGTAAGTATTCTCTGGATAAAGATCTTTCACACTCTGTGGCTTCTTCAGAATGCACATTTGCTAGTTTCTCCACAACAGCAGAGTCTGTCCTTTTTACTTTATTATGCCTGTGCTGATCTTTATGCAAGAAAACTACAAGTGTACAAAGTACAAAGGAAATTAAGTATCAACAAACAAGGGTGTGTACACAATAGGAAAAACAAAAGCATCTTTGTTTTAAACCAAAATGTGTTAAAAGATACCTGGATAAGCTGTGTGCAGTACTGCAAGTGCTTGACTATGGTGATATCAAGGCTTTCATTTCCTGTGGTCAATGGAAGAGGGCTTCCAGCAACACTGTTACCAACTCCTGTGTCTTCTGTCAAGGCTTCACTGAGATGCCCTCTGCCTTCTGGGTGTTCTGACCTGTAACTGTTCAAGCTGGGAGGTAAGCGAGCAGTTTGATTTTCTTTTCATGGAAGCAATGCAAAAGAGAAATTGCTGAAAGCACTCTCCTGTAACCAAACAGCTCTTCGTAGGCCAGTAACCTTCTAATGAATACGTCGTATCTCAAATTGGCAGTAGCATTAGGTAGAACGTGCCAAATAAGTGTCCACATTTAAAGGATATATTGTTACCACACTAGCCTACTTGTTTCTTTGAAACAATCACTTTTTTGTAAGGAACTCTTGCTAAGAAGTCTTTGAAATCAACCTTTGCTATAACTTTTCTTTTTTTTTTCTATCATAGTCACCTTGGTTTGTTGACAGCATGCTTTGCTAAACTGCTCTATGAATTTGTGGATGTAACTGAACTATAGATTTGTGGTTTTTAAAAGTTATACAATTAAGATGTAATCTGTCAGTGCTTTCCTGGCACATGATTAATTGTTCAGCTAAGAAATTTAAAAAATAGTGAGAATCTGTTGGAAAGGAAGTTATAATGGAATCATCCAGTGGTTCACACACAAAAAAACAAACACCAGTTTTCTGTTCTCTTTATTCATAGAATACAAAAATCATTGTTTAAACATCTATTTCACTCTTTTAACTATTTCAGTCAAGGAAATGTTTAAGTTACTTGCTCTTCTTGACCTCTCAGCAGCTTTCAATACCATCAGTTATGGTATTCTTCTGCACCAGCTTTGGGGGTTCGCATGGGGGCACAGTTTTATCCTCCTTCTCCTCCTTCTCCTGGGGTAGGTTCCCATCACTGTTGATAGGAGAGTTCCAGCCTGCAAGGCCTGCTTTGTGAGGTGCCACAGAACTTGACATACTCTCTACTCCTATTTAACATCTACATGAAACCACTGGGTGAGGTCATTTGATGCCATGGGGTAAGGTACCATAAATATGCAAATGATACTCAGTTATACAACTCCATCCCAGGCTGTCCAAGCAGTGCCATGGAGATCTTGTATTGGTAGCTGGAGGCTGTGCAGATCTGATCTGAATGGGGAGGAATAGCTTCAGCTTAAGCCTGGTAAGCCTGAGTGGATATGGGTTTTAGGCCCACCTGGGTCCAGTGATGTTCTATCTAGTTCTGGATGGTGTTGCACTACCCAAGACAGAACTGGTTCACAATTTGGGGGTCCTCCTGGACTCATGGCTCCTGCTCAAAGAGCAGATGTCAGCTGTGGCCACTGGGGCACTTGCACAGCTTCATGTTGTGTGCCAATTGCACCCTTCCTGGATTGGAAGGCACTGTGCATGGTCACAGATGCTTTACTCACCTCCCAAATGGACTACTACAATGCATCCTACGTGGGACTGACCTTGAAGAGCATCCAGATTGCAGGGGCACGGGCAATTACAGATGTTTCCCAGTTTGGCTATATTACACCTTTGCCTAGTACCCAGTAGGCTTCCAGGTGCAATTCAAAGTGCTGATTACATTCTTTAAAGCCCTTCATGGCATGGAGCCAGGATACTTGAAGGACTGCCTGTCTCCAGTGGTTTCTACCTGCTCTATTCGATCAAGCAGGAGGGTCATGCCTCAGGTCCCATCAATTAAAGAATGCCATCTTGTGACCCAGGAAGTGTGCCTTTCCTGTTGTGGCACCTGCTTACCCCCTGAGATCAGACTGACCCTGAGTCTGCTGGCTTCCATAAAGTGTTGAAAACCTGGTTGTTTCCCCAGGCATAGGGATTGTGA